GGAACCTATGACGGGAAGTACCACTGCTCGTGTTCTACTGTATTTTGAAATCACAGTTCCCACCGTTAAAATCAGGGAGTTCTGCTGATAGAGAATTGGAGTAACAGGCAAAAATCGAAGGTTCAAAATTGACAGATTCGCTAGCGCTTCGTCCCTTTAGGAAAAATGAACAACCACACCACCGGGCCGGAAGAAAACAGAACAATACAGGATAGAAGGAACAAGATTCGAGTTAAATACAAGAAGTCGATGTCTTCAAGGCGCCGAACTGCTTACTTACTTCATTGATTACTTAATTAATTATATTCTCAATTACACATTCATTTAAATACCAACTAAACTACTTAATTACTTACAATCATGTTTATCTACTTTCTATTTATTAGCTAACATATTACTTACCTCGTTATCGTCTAAATCAGTTATTGATTAAACTTATTATTGAGTTGTTTATTTACTAACTTACCCACCTACTTAGTCATTTTTATACTTACCTTTGACGGTTAACCTACCATGCTCTTCTTTAGTAACATATCAACTTTTCTCACTGACCAATTATAATTTATTTCTATCATACAGCCATTTGCAAGAAAGACATCTGACTAGGTTACCAGCTCCTTTACTGAATCACGTACTGGTTGGCTTAGTTATGTAGCCAATTTTGTAGGTACCTATCTACTGCATCATACCAGATTTATTTAGATATGTATTTATTATTGATTTGCTAGCTTATTTATTGACTACCAAGTTGACTGACTGATCGATCATCTAAATTTTCTTATTTCTGACCTGCTTATTGACTTCTTAGCTGACTTATTTCTGTACTTACTTTCCTGCTTGCTAACATGTTTAGTTACATCCTCAATTACATACTTACTTGCTTACTTAGTGGACTGTCTGAACTTAAGTTTAACTTGTTTGCTAGCCTATTTATTGTCTGAGTTCCTAATCAGCGATAAATTTATTGCAAAACAACTTTTTTAATTAACTTAATCACTTCTTCAATTACTGACTTTCTGAAAAACAGACCCATTAACAGAGAACAATAAAAGCCAACTACCGCCTATGAAACAA